AAAGATGGCGAGAAGAAAGGGGAGAATGAATAGAGGAAGGCACTTGGATATAAAAACAACGCCACAATACCCCCATTTATAGGGGACAATGACACGACCATCAATGCCTTTGGAAGACTGACTGGCAGGTACAATTAATGTGTTCTTGAAGTACCGAATCGACGGCGGTACTGTCACTTTGAAGAACAGGAATCGACAGCGCATTGAATGGCGTCGAAAAGACAAGTCCATGGGATGTCCCGGTTATCGTGAAAACGCACGCCATGGGTTGCATCATCGGCATGACGTTGTCACGGGAAGCCCGGGGAGTCGGGTATCAGAATCATTTCCCATTTCTTCGTTCTGGGAAACGCGGAGACTATCTGTATGCGGAGAAATTAGAGGGTCCAATTTCTTGCCGTTAAGTCGCTTCGGAAGAACACCTCGAGGCCTCGAGGATGCGAAGCTGTGACCGAGTTCCCTCCCTCGAAGCTCGTTGAGGTCCGACATGAAGAGAATATTGATCGAGGCTAGAGTAAAACAGGAGATTCCCTAGGCACGCGGCTAAGTCTGACAAAGTCGGTCTGCCCGGAGCCTTTATCAAGGTGTCGCATTTAGCCATCCCATCTCCATACCTTTACAATTAATGCATTTTGTACTATGTTGGATTTTTTCTCCTATATAAAAGGGATCCTCATCACTTTGTAAGGGGCTGTTGTTGCTCCAACTATTGTACACGAAATATAACAACTCTCTCTCTTTTCTCTCTAACATATTTTCCCAATGCTATTGTTTATTATTCTCATATTTGTTCTTCATTTATTGCTTGTCATTGGCCATATAGAGCCTCCCTTGATTATATCCTAACTGATAGCCCTTCCAAATTACCCCCGATAGCTCGAGCTTGAGCCCAGGCATCGACCTCGAGGCCCCTCATCGGTCAGTCCGAGGCCCGAATAGCCAGCCCCTCGGTTTGATTACAACTCTGCTTTAGTTCGTATTTCGCCGCTTAGCTTCACACATCTAGCATCAACTGCTTTAACAACTAGAATAAAAATAGATCACGTATTTTTAGAGTCCCATTAACAAATTTAATTGTTTTTACCATTTTCACGGTAAACACAAAGCACATTGTATAGCTGCCCTGTATAACTCCCCCTTGTAATATGCCATAGGCAGCCCCCTTTTATATGTTGTATTTCATTGGTTTAAGTCAAGTAAGCATGTGTGAGCCTTCCAACTGAGTTTTCTTTGTACATTCCGCGAGAATAAATAAAGGTTTGGCTTTTACCCGTATTACTGTATGTTGCTTACGTTTTTGCTATGTCTAAAATAATCTAATTCCTAAACTGTGTGCGAAAAAAGTAAGGTTGAGTGGTTGAGAGTTTGGCTGCTACCCTTCAGTGTCAATTATGCCAAAAATCGACCCTGTAACACCTACCAACCGAGGTATGTGCCAAATAATGAATTAGTCACTTTTCCTCAACATACATGGATTCTAACATCATTCTTACCTATAAAACACTAGATTTCAATATCAAATCTTCAAGAACTAAAAAATTACCAAAGTTGTACTTGTTCAAGATGTATTGTCAAGATGTAATTTCATTATCCAATTTTCCTTTACTATGTATAAATGAATATATAAAAGATAAAGTTGAGTAGAAATGATTGTTGGATTGAGTTATTGAATAAACTCTAGAAATGATAGTTGCATCAAGTACTATAGTTAATAGTTATGGGACGTATTGAGAATTGTTGAGCTTATAAAGGACCAGGTAAGTGTTGCTCCCAAACACACACTCAAGTATACGTGGTCGATAAATGATAAAAAGCGAGTAGAATATCATTCCTACGAGAACTTGTTTTAAACGATCAACTAAATTAAACTAAAATAATTAATCTATTCGAGCGATTTTCTAAATTGAGATTAATTAAGTTCAACTAATTTGGAGTAGTGAACTAAGCAATTAAACAAAACAAGTCGGCAAGCTTAGAGACAAATACAATAGAGTCAATATTCAATAACTATGGGTTAGCTAACAAGCTTAGATGATTGTGTTTTATATTTAACTAAAACTACAGCGAACACTAACAAACAAGCAAGGAAACAAGAATGCACGTAAAACACATAAACAACTTAGGAGCAAATTCGATTGGTGATATTCCAGGGTTGTGTGATTAGAGTCTATCCTATTGAGTTCTTTGGTTCATTAAATACTTGATCTATCTGATTTGTTGATTAACAGGGTTAAGTTTGCTTGCGAGGTTTTTCAACGCCTCGTTGGTCTATTCAAACCAACCTAATACGTATGCCTATTGAATCATCATGAACTAGAATACATGTACCTCCTGCATGAATAACCAAGTAAGGCAATGAAAATATGTCTATCCTAATCGCACATCTTTTCTCTGGTGTCTAAATTTACGAACTTACTTTATTCAATCTTATATGAAATCTATAGTTCTCACTTTCGAGTATTACTATAAATTCATAGACAGTATTCTCGTGTTAGCTACGTGGTAAAATAATTAAGTACAAGATTGAATAAACAAATTAATATGATTAAATCAAGTAATCTCCACAACTGTCAAATGTCAATATTCAAGAATGACCCATAACCCCAAAACAAAAGGGGTTTTAGCCACTCATGATCATAAGAACAATCAAAATATTTTTTTGAATCATAAAAACTACAAATACTAAATTAAGGATGGAAGATGAGATGATTCCGTGCTCTGTTTGTGTTCCTAGCACTTCTTGCCTTTAGAATAAGGCTTACCCCCTTCTTAGACATGTTTAGGGGTATTAATAGGTTATGGCCTAAGCCTTCAAGTCCAAAATCAGTAAGGAAACAATCTTCTCTTACGTAGAGGCATGGGCGCGAGGCGACACTTAAGGCAACGTGCCAACCTCCCGAGTCCTGGTGAGAGGCGAGGAAACAACCTCGCGAGGCCAGGTGAGGTGCGAGCTTGTGCTTGGGGCCTGGTCTCCTCCGTGCCTTGCGGTGATTCTCCTTTCGTGCTCGACTTTTGCATTTTCAACATTATTTTGTGTAACTTCTATTCCATTTTGTGCTCAAATGGTCCTGCACATAAATCAACTCAATTAAATTCAAATGTGGCACAATTTATCACTAGAACACCAAAATGTAAGGTAAGTCATGTACTATATCATAGAATTCTAGCCAAACATCATTGATTATGTGGCATAATATGTGAAATAACTCATAATGGGGAACATGACTACTGAAAAATGCTATCAAAATGGCCTTACTTGACCATGTGTAATGGCTAATTAGCCTGACCCTTTTTGAAAATTTGTATTTTTTTCTCCTTATTTTCCTTATATTGTAGGCTTCACTCCTATTTTTTCCATCTTTCTTCTTCGTCTTTTTACCTTTTTTTATTCTTCAACTGGATTCATTTTTAAAAACTTCTCCATGTATTGTTTCTTCTTAAATTATTTAGCCCCTCTCTTATTTCACTCTTCTTTCATTCCTTAGCCATGTCCCTAAGATGATATCCTTGGGTTGGTTGGATGGTTTTGGTGATGCTCCTTTACAATGTTCTTACGGTAAAATCTCTGTGATCGTTTCGTATTGGTCTTTAGTGAGGATTTGAGTTTAATTTCTTTATTTAATTTCAATTCTGAAATGTCCTCTTGTCATTTGCTAGTTGGTTTTGATATAATCCCTACAATTATTCTGTTCAAAATAAACTTAATAAAGTTCTCTTCCACTCTTTTTCTTCATTACTTTACGATCTGAATGCAGTTGTACAGTAACATATAATATTTCATTAAAAATTAAAGTTATTGTTTTCTCTTTTCATGTTTTTGTTTATTCATGGCTGAATACATAGGCAATTCCTTAAATTTGTCTTTTTTTTTTTCTCTTAGGTACTTATACTACGGCTTGTTCCAATTAAACACTTGAACTCAAACCCAATTGTACCTATCAGGCACAATTCGCTGACTTGGCACATACGTGTATCTCACATAAAATAAAGCGCGTGTTGCCAAAAACAAGTGAAAATTCTGCCGGAAAAATAATTTCCAGTTACAAATTTTACAACCATCTTTTACTGATTCCGGCAGCAACCAGGACCACCGCCGTGACAACACCTTATTCTTCTACTCATATCCGGCCATCACCACCTTTTCTCCAACCATAGGTTCGGCAACTTTAAATCTAGTCACGGCGACCTCTCCCCTCCTTAGATTTTGGCGGTTAGAATTCTTAAATTTCCAAGATTTCATTTTTGATATCCCCAAAGCATCATCAGATGAAAGAGCTTTACCCATTTCAAAGAGACGAAAAAGAGCACATACATAACGTTTCTTTGTCACAATATTCACAAGAAAGAATCAATATTACCGACTTCATCTTTGATATCGCCAAAGATTTTACCAGTTGTGGCATTCACGGATGTTGGCATTTCTTTTTTCCAACCAGTAGCGTTTTCGTTGCGGTTTGGTAAGAAGAAAACATCATTCACCAATTTTGCAGATTTGGTAAAGAATAAAACATCATTCAGGCCAGTAAAGTTTTATGTTTCGCTGGTGTTCCTATTTATCCGGTAGAGGTTTTTGATTTTTTTTTTTTGAGATTTTGACTTTTTTATTTTATTTTTGACGTGGCTTTTTCTCATTGGTAAATTTGCCATGTTGCAGCAAGTGACATTCACGCAGTAAAATCTTGCTTAAAAATGTAAAATATGTGTTGAATTGGCATAGTTTTTATATAGATAAAGTGTTCAATTGGAACAAGCGTTAGTTTAAATCTGTGTCTAAATGAAAAAAAGGGACAAGTTATTCAGCCTTTATTNGCATGCGCAAGAAAAGAAAAAAAGAAATAAAACGAAGGAGAAAAGTTGCCGGAAAAGTCGTCTGCAAACTCATGGTCTTTGCTGGGTAACATAGGGTTGGACAGGAGAAAAGAAGAAACAAAAGAAAAGGAAAAAGAAAATAGAATAATAATTAAACCGGTTTTAACATTAGGCTGAGCTATATAGCCACAAGTCATGACATATTGCATTTATTTATTAATTAAGAGGGTGTACTAAACATACCTCATACTATGGGGTTTTAGTACGAAAGAGAATAAAGTTCAGATGGAGGTTTTCCGGACACCGAATAATTACAGTAGGAACCAATAAAAGTTAGATAGTTTAAGGGGATTTTAGAGTATTAACTCTTTACGGAAACGTATTGGTATATCGCTTCCAATAAGATAAGGACAACTAGTTACAAAAAGAACAAACTTCCATACTTTGTTAAACAAAAGCTTATGCTTGCTTAACTTCAAAACTCCTCCTTAATTGTGACCATAGTTGTTTGAAGAGTCTTTCGACTGTATTATAATTTAAGCTCCGGAAACAAGCCTGTTAGAAACAAATGAAACATCAACCTAAACAATTCGCGATCAAGCAAATTAGTATCTCTTTAGTTAGCCAAAACTTACGTTTCTTCAATTTATATCACTTTTTCTTTCTCATTCTGCAAGAGTCTCTATACCCTTGGAATGTTTCTCTCTTGGGAAAACTCTGTGATTCGTTTACTTCCACTTGTGGATATGCCAGACGCAATCGTTCTTGATGTGTCTTCTCCTTCAGATGAGGTTCTTGGACTTTCAGAAAGAGGGGATCTAATTGACTCATTATTTGGCAGATTATTATTCAGGGAAGCCTTGATAGAATGTCCCATGCACTTTGAGCGTGTGGAGCTCGGCTCATTTTTATCTTCAACTGCGTCTCCATTAGTCCTGCATCGCAGAGTATAGCAAGAAAAACCAAGAAATATATATATCTGAATACACAAAGTACACTCAACTTAGAACATCAATACACGGAGAACAATTAGACTAGAGAAAGGCTAGTAAACAGTAAGGAAATCTCTGATTCGGTTAATTATCCACACAATTGCTAAGGCATATCCCTCTTTTGATAAATACTAAAACAACTTTAGTGGGACAAAGCCAGGATGCTATCAAACAAGAAGCAAGTGGGGCTACTCAGCAAGTCACAAAATTGTTGACACAAGTTCTAAAACACAGTAGATCTTCAATATAATGGTGATCATTATTGTCAATGTAACTTACAAGAAGTTCTTTTAGGCAATTTCAGAATAATGACCTATTCGTGTGGTGAAAAATATGTGGAAGGGTTAAGAAAGAATTAAACATAACTTAGCAGGATAATACGCCTAGATAACCATTGACTTAGAAGCAAAGGAAGGTCATTACAAGACATTGTTGGGAGATAGAGATTGTTAAAGCCTAGACAATTTGGTTCTACTACCCGCACGATCATAAGAAAGGAGAACAATATGAGGAAGGTCTAAGAAATAACAAACATAAGAATCAAATGGATTATACGTCTGATGAAGATTGACATGCTAGGCCAGGAATATTGTTAAAAGACAGGTTAAGTAGGCAGATGTCATTAAAAACTACAGTGTGGAAATTTAGTTGAGTATAATCCTGGTTTATCCAGGCCATATTTTTTTCCAAATTCAAAGAAAGTTCAAGGTTCCACACAGAAGAAAGTCCTATTAAGTATTTACTGCATGGAAAACAACATCCGATGTAGCAAGTGTAACCAAAATACCAACCTCTCAGCAGCGAAAGATGACCGCTTTAAGGCAGGAGGTACTCGTTCCTTGGGAAGAGTAGGCTCCATCCAGCTTCCACAGAAATATTCCTCATCTTCCAACCCCATTAACCTCTGATTCCTTTTCAGGCAATCAAGCTTCCCTAAACTTAATCTTGATTTGTATGTATGTATAAGGCCAAATCTATGATCCGCTACTGAAACTGATCCACATGAGATTAGTTGCATTAGCATATTCGAAGGCTTTAGTTTTGTTGATGAAACCCGACCCTCTTCGCTTTCAAGTGTCTTAAAGCTGCTGAGCTTGCTCACATCCGATCTGATGAGAGATATCAAGGTATCTGTTCTACCACCATTACTGGCCCTACATATATCTGCAGACTCATTTGTCATTGAAACACCTTTTCTGCTTCCATTTTCCTGATTTTGAGTGGAAGCATTAGCCAGGCCAACAGTATTATTGATCTTGCTCGCTTTCAACCTTAACGAACCATTACATGAAGAACAATTAGCAGATCTGGACTCTGGGGTTACATCCAAAGCACCTGGAATTGGAACTGATGGTTCACCTTTACAAGAATTCTTCGCACTTCTTTCATCCGTACTAGACGAAGGAAAGGAATTATCTTGGCTCCTAGAGGATGAAGGTTCTGGTAATACTTTCGGATTTGACAATCTGTCATTTTTCGCTGGACTGCAGTGACCTGGAGAAACAAAAACGTGAGGCCCAGCTATACTTGTTGTTTCAATGAAGAATTGATGCAGCCAAACTTGTTAATTGTTCGACATAGTTACCTGAATTGGATTCTTCACAAAGCTCTGAGCCTTTGAGAACATATTCATTACCATGAGCAGGAAGAATCAGGTCATCTTCACAAAGATCATGCCACACAAATCTGTTCTTGTAGCTTCTGTATATATAAGCAATCTCAGAATTGTGAAGTCCGCATTACAAATAGAACAAAAGACAAGTAAATACAAAAAAATGTTGGACTAGTTTTTACCTCTTACAGGACCAAGAGTACGACGAAGCCATTCCTCTGCCTCTCAAAACGTTAAACCTCACGATTACATCTTCAAAAGTGCAAGAACACATATAAATTAAAGCAATGACCAGAATTTTTGACTTAGTTGCTTTAATCATATTCATCAAATGTGTCTAAATGAATAACCAGATCCATATTATATTACCTCTCAAGTATAGGCCATCAGGCGAAGACAAGGGTACTTCCATGAAATGAGGATGCTCAAGCCGTTGATTTCTACATAGATAATATACCACTGGCACTTTGCCATCATTCTTTTGGGGCTGCTGCTGCACATATTTGGGCGGTTTCTCAGTCCACACTTTAGCTCTCTCTGGACTCAATTGCCTATACTTCTTCATACGCTCTTCCATTTCGATATGAAACTTTATTTTGATATGAAAAGATCAAATGCGTAAAATCCATAAAGAAAATGTGTTACACAGCTGAAAGAGACAGCAAACAACCATTCTCCATTTTTTGTAACAGTATTCTGACAGATAAACACCACGACCATGTTCTCACTGAGATATACGTAAAGAGTAGAACAATGAAAGAAGCTTTTCTCTCTTGCTTTCTTTTTACACCTTTGCTTCATCTTTAAAAGAATGTGCTGCTGCTGCCAATCGTCGTGGCTCTTTGTGCTTTTTCTCAAATTTTTCTCTCATTTTTCTGTTCTTTTAGCTGGAGTGGAATCTTTTTCACCCATCTGTGAAGTTAACTTTATGTGCCCTTTTACAGGAATAGTTAATTGATTTGGATTTGGTGCCTTCTAGTCTGTTTTCTTTGACTTCTTCCTAATGTTTCATATTCAATTTTATCCCCTAAGTTTAAAATATATTTCTAAATAAAGCATAATGGCTGAAAATAATGCTAATTTAAATGAAGAACAAATTAATTTATTCTCTTGAAGTGTTCATTTAATGTTTGTGATGCATAAATTTAGTCTACTCAATCCAATTACCATAAGTTGAGCATTTGATCATTATATACCAAATTTGAGTTTGAAAATCATTTCATTACATTCAATTTAAATGATGTTGTGTGTAATAAAGTTATATTTGAACTCAAAGCTGCACGTTATTAATGAACACATAGGCGTATTTATACAGAGCAGTGGAGGAGTAGAATCCCTGAAAAAGGGAAGAGATAAAGGGAATCCAAGGAAAAGGGGAAGAGATAAAGGGAGTATAATCCCAGATAAAGGGGAAGAGATAAAGATTAATCTAATCTAAGCTTTCTATCTAATATACCCCCTCAAGATGGGCAATTGGTCGGCCGAGTACAGACGCCGATCTTGTTCCTCAACCTGTCAAACTCGAAACGAGAAAGAGGTTTAGTTAGAATGTCCGCAAGTTGATCCTTGGTAGAGATATGAGCAACACAAAGAAGACCTTTCTTCACCAAATCACGCACAAAGTGAAAATCAACTTCTAAGTGTTTCATTCGTGAATGGAAAACTGGTTTAGCACACAAATAAGTAGAACCCAAGTTGTCACAATATATCACTAGAGGACGACAAAAGGAGACAGCTAGTTCCTTAAATAAGTTCCTCAACCAACAAAGTTCAGCAGCTGTAGATGCAACCGAGCGATATTCATCCTCTGTCGACGAGCGAACAACAAAACGCTGATTTTAGAGCTCCAAGCAACTGGATTCTTCCCAAGAAAAATTATGTGAGCACTCGTAGACGTGCGATCATCACGATTACCAGCCCAATCCGCATCCGAGAAGGCATGAAGAGTTAAAGGAGAGTCTTTGTGAAAGAAAATACCCTTGTCAATGGTACCAAGAAGATACCTGATCACCCTTTTGAGATCTTGTCAATGCTTGACAGTAGGACGATGAGAGAATTGAGCAAGACGCGTGGTGGAAAAGGCGATGTCTGGTCTAGTTAATGCTAAGTATTGCAAGGAACCAACAAGCATCCTGTAATCATGTGGATCACTTATTGGTGCACTATCGTCAGGCTGCAATGAGTTAGTGGCTGCCAGAGGTGTAGCAACTGGATTTGCACCTACCATAGAAGCCTTTTGTACAATATCTTCAATATATTTCCTTTGCGACAGAAACAAACCAGTAGATGTACGAGTAGCCTGAATACCAAGAAAATAAGCAAGAGAACCAAGATCTTTAATTGAAAATCCGGTTCCAAGCTTTGCAATGAACCTGTCAATGGCCTTCAAATTATTGCCTATAACTATTAAGTCATATACATATACAATGAGATACAAATTATTCCAGCTACAGAGAAGATAAATAAACAATTATCAGAGGAGCACACCCTGAAACCCATACTTAACAAGAAGTTGGACAGTTCATGGTACCAAGCACACGGAGCTTGTTTGAGACCATATAATGACTTGTGCAGTTTGCACACATGATTTGGATTATTAGCATCAACAGATCCTTTTGGTTGTGCCATGTATACTCCTTTTGGTTAAGCAGTAGGCTTTGATACCATAATAAAGTCATATTCGAACTCAAAGCTGCACTTTATTAATGAACACATAGGCGTATTTATACAGAGTAGTGGAGGAGTAGAATCCCTGAAAAAGGGGAAGAGATAAAGGAAATCCCTGAAAAGGGGAAGAGATAAAGAGAGTATAATCCCGGGTAAAGGGGAAGAGATAAAGATTAATCTAATCTAATCTTTCTATATAATAGTGTGAACAAACACAAAGATTAATATATCGAGGTAGTGAAGGAAAACATTACACTAATAGTTGAGAAGTTAATTTGATAGTGAAAGCATCATATAAAATTTTAATTTGCTTAGTTTAATTGATTTGAGTTCTCGAAATTTGTGAAAGTCAGAAATATAGTTGTGTCAAACACTATAAAAGGAGGAAAATCAAAATAGTTAAGTGTTTTTGAACTTAAGACTCCAAATGGTCATATTTCTTTCTCATCGAGCACTAGCAATCCATTATACTGGATAAAGTGGTGCACATGTATTTGGACAAGTTACACATTTTACCGGTCAACCAAAATAATTACATTTCCTAGCGGCTATAAGGGTATTTGACTAAGAAGGTATTTGGCTAAGCTTATAAGCTATTCAAACTGACTTATAAGTATTTTTTTTGGCTTATTTATGCGTTTGGTAAACACTCAAAGTGCTTATAAACTAAGTGCTCATAAGCTAAAATCAGTTGGTCATTCCCAACTTTTGATTTTTAGACATATAAGCACTTTTAATTTGACCAGTAATTTTACTGTTTAATCCCGAAAATATCACAAAAACCTCTCTTTATTCTCCATGACTTCACTTCTTCATAATTTATCGAGACCAAAACATTATGCCACCTCTTCACCATCAACCAGATTCTCCTTGTAATTCTTTGGGATTCTCCCTTTAATTTTCTTAATTCTTTTGCATGTGTTTTTTTTCTTTCTTCTAAAAAGTTTTGTTAATGCCAAATCATCTTAATTATTGATTTTATTTAACAAATTTAATCTGTTTTAGATAATAAAATGTGTGCTAAACAATCAAAGGAACGCTATAATTTTAATAATCAAATTAAGAAGGAATAACATAAATCTTGCAAGAAAGATGTAACGACCTGATCAGTCGTTTTGAGCTTTAGCATTTCATCCGGTGGTTTAAAACCTTGAGTAGTTTCATATGATGCATTGTGACTTGCGTGTATGGTAGGGTTTGACTTTCGAGAAGCTCAGAGTTGATTTGGAAGAATAATTCTCAATTTGAAAGCTTTAAGTCGGAAGAGTTTAACAAGGTTTGCCTTTTGATAAACGACCTTGGAATCGAGATTTGATGGTTTCAAATTCTTATGATGATTTTGGACTTGCGCATATATTCGGATTTGAATTTGAATGTTCGTAGAAGGTTTTGGCCCTAGTTGTCAAAAGTTGAAAATTTAAAAAATTGGAGAGTTCACAAGTTTGATTAGGAGTTGACTTTGATAATATCAAGTTCGGATTGTTGTTTTAGAACTTGTAATAGGTTCGTATTGACAATTAAAACTTGTGTTCAAAGTTTGATTGGAATCTGGATGGTTGTGTTTGAATCGTACGCATGGTTTGTAACAGCCCAACATTTATAAAATATTATATAAATTATTTGGAGATATTTATATTTAAATAATAATAATAATAATAATTCATTCTCTTTGTTTAATTCATATGTATATCTGTAGTTCGTTCGTTAGACACTTTGATTTAGTGAGATGTAGATAATTTCTAATAGCCAAAAAGGAAGTAAAAAAAATATCTTATGGTACCACTGTGTAAATTAAGAAACTAATGACTATTCTTTGCACATTCTAGATAATTTGGGTTTATTGTATAATTTTACAATATGCTTCTATCCTACCATTGAGGTTTGACAACCCTTTTTTTTTCAAAAGCCTACCTTTTATTCCTTTTTTCCTCTAACTCTCCATGGAAGAAGCTCAATACCCATATTAATATACCATTTTTCTTCCATCATTAAACCCAAGTCTTATTATAAAAAGAAAAGAAAAATAGCTTATTTTTCAACACCTTGAAGAAAGGTGTGAAATTTTATATTCAAGAATCAAAAAAGGGTTAAGGATTTGCTTGAAATCCTAGGTTTTAGTTGAAGAAAGATATGTTCTTGCTGTTGTGGTAAGCTTCTTACCCTATCTATATGTGAATTAATGTCATGACTCAAAATCCCACACGTTGTGATGGCGCCGCAATACTAGGCAAGCCGATAATTACAATAAACCATGCATCTTTAAATTTGAAAACATAATATAATAAGCTTAAGAGTAAAATCTCATGAATAACTTGTCACGACCCCAAAACCGACCCGACCGTGATGGTGCCTATCGTGAAACTAAGACAGCCGATACAATCCCAAATCAAACCAATATTTCATAAAAGGAACTTTTTAAGCTATTAATCAAATAAAATCCCATAACACGAGTCTAAATAACGAGTGTGGAAAGGAAACACAAGCCCGACATCGCGGTGTCACAAGTACGAGCATCTACTAAGGTCTGAATACAACAAAGACTACCACAATCTGAAAAATACTAACAGTCTAAGGATGATGAGAGGGAGAAGAGCAAGATGTGAACGCCATGCAACTACCTTGCTAACTCCGATGGACCTGCCACTGAGTAATCAACACCCGTTACCGGGTTCAGAAATACCTGAATCTGCACACAAGGTGCAGGTAGTAATGTGAGTATGCCAACTTAGTAATTAATAAAATTAAATAAAGACTGAGTAGTAAGAAATCACATAATCCACGTCATAACACCACAGTAAGTATAGGATGTATCCAAAACAGTATATAAATCAAGTCATCTCGTTAAAATCCAATTTCAGTAAAAAAATCCTTTGAAAAATGTCTTTCTAACAGTTTCAACAGAGATTCAATGAAGTTTAAAATAAAAATGATGAATGTCGTAAATAACCCCTCGGCAAGACATGTATCATAAACCGCCTCTCGGGCATAACATCAATCAGAACCAGTCCCTCGGGCTACCTCACAATCACTCGTAATTAGCCCATCGGGCAACATCATATCACTCACTCAGGGTACTCGCGCTCACTAGGGGTGTACAGACTCCGGAGGGACTCCTACAGCCCAACCGCTAAAATCCGCACGGACAACTCAGGTGCTACTCGGACAACTCATGTGCAATCATATACCTGCGCTCACTAGGGGTGTGCAGACTCCTGGAGGGACTCCTACAGCATGAGCACTATAACAAGCTATCTCGTGGCATAACAAATCAGGCTCTCGACCTCTCATATATCTCAAATCAGTACAACATGCTGCGGCACGCATCCCTATCCCATAATATCTTCACAACACATGTCATCGGCCTCACTCAGTCAGAAACCTCTCAAGCCACTCGGGCTAATAGTAAAATAGGGTGCTTAGCCCAAAATATCATTTATTTTATTAAAACGGAGTAAATAAAGTTGAATTATGAAATCAGTAAAACACAGCATGACTAAGTACAGATATTAAATCAAAACAGTAAGGAATAGTAGTAAAAAGCCCATAAGAGTTCAAACAGCTTGGCACGAGGCCCAAATATGGCATTCAGCCCAAAACATAGTAATACTTTCCTAAGCACAATAGTATCAAATAGTTTTCAGTCAAATATGCGACTTAATAGTCGTACGGGATGGACCAAGTCACAATCCCCAATGGTGCACGCCCCCACGCTCATCATCTAGCATGTGTGTCACCTCAAAGTAGTGAAACAATGTGAAATTCGGGGTTTCATACCCTCAGGACAAGATTTAAAGTCATTACTTACCTCAAACCGGACAAAACTCTAACCCGCGATGCCCTTGCCTCTCGACTTGGCCTCCAAATACTCCAAATCTAACCAATATCAGTATCACATCAATAATACACGCTAAAGGAACGAAGCCCATGCAAAAATTATCCAATTAACTCAAAAATCTTGAACTTGGCCAGACCCGACCCCGAGCCCACATCTCGGAATCCAACAAAAATCATAAAACCAGAATCCTTATCCTCTCACTAGTCCATACATAACAAATTTACCAAAATTCGACCTCATTTGGTCAGTCAAATTCTCAAAATCCACTCTCCAATTTCAAGCCCTAAATTTCCAAATTTCTAGTCCAACTTCTCAATTAGATGATGAATAAGATCATAGATTCATGAAATTCCATTATAGGTTAGAATCACTTACTCCAACGTTGCTCCTTCAAATCCCATGAAAAATCGCCTCTCTCCCACGTTCCTTAAGCCCAAAATCGGAAAATGATGAACAAACCTCGAGCTGGGGTTTTCTGTCCAGCAAAAACTGCACTTGCGGTCCAATGCCCACTTCTGCGGTACCGCACCTACGGAATTTCCCTCGCTGGTGCGGAACCCACTTAATGAACCAATCTTCGCATTTGCGGTCAAACCATCGCACATGCGGTAGCCACCTACGACTCATCTTCCGCTTTTGCAAAATGGACCAAACTCCATAGCGTCCGCATCTGCGGCTCTGAGCTCACACATGCGGCCTCGCACCTGCGGTCCTCAATCCGCAAGTGCAGAAATGACAGACGTAGCAAAATCAGCAGCATCAACTCAAAGCCAAACTTTCCGTCAACAACCCCAAATCCATCGCGAGGCCCTCGAGACCTCAACCAAACATGCCAACAAGTCACATATCACCATTCAAACTTATTTCAACAGTCGGTACACTCATAACAACATCAAAGCACCCAATTACCCTCGAATTCAAGCCTAAGGATTTCCAAACTTTCAAATTCCGCAAACGATGCCAAAACCTATCAAACCTCATCCGAATGGCTTGAAATTTTGCACACACATCACAATTGACACTACGGACCTACTTTAATTTTCAGAATTCCATTCCAACCATAACATCAAAATTTCCACTGCCGACCGGGAAACACCAAATTTCCAATTTCGCCAATTCAAGCCCTATTCTACCAAGGACCTCCAAATCACATTCCGGATGCGCTCATAAAACCAAAATCACATAACAGAGCTAACCAAATCATAAAAATAAAAATCCGAGATCGGATACTAAAAAGTCAAAACATGATCAAACCTTTCAAATTTAAAGCTTCAAGCTGAGAATCATTCTTCCATATCTATTCCGATTGACCTGAAAATCAAAACTGATGATTTAGATAA